CCTAGTTAACCACTCTACCCCTCTAGTAACCACTCTACCCCCCTAGTAACCACTCTACCCCCTAGTAACCACTCTACCTCCCTAGTAACCACTCTACCCCCTAGTAACCACTCTACCCCATAGTAACCCACTCTACCTCCCTAGTAACCACTCTAACCCCTAGTAACCACTCTACCCCCTAGTAACCGGCCTCTATAAACGGCTTCTACGCCCACGACAAGAGCCGTGCAATGAGCGTTAATCTGTGTGAAATATGAGTATTGACTGTAAATTAATGTGGCGAGTCGATAAGACCAAACGAGGCGGCCATCACACTTCACATGCACTGAGCCCTACCTCCGTCAACCTCTAAGATGCCACTCTTACCTTCCCCCTTCCCTATTCTTCCCCCAACCTACCCCTCCCTCTCTATTATTGACCCGCAGGTCCGTTCCTTCCTCTAGGTGTCTATGGTGAGTAGGGGCGGGTGAGGGTAGGAGGGGGTGATAGCAGAAGGGAGGGTGAGAGCAGGGGAAGGGTGAGAGAAAGGGTAGGTGAAGGCAGGGAAGGGGTGAGAGCAGGGGAGGGGGTAAAGGGAGGGAAGGGGTGAGGGCTGGACGAAGGAGAGAACAAGGGGAAACGAACAAAAGCTAATGATCTATTCTTAAACATTTCTGCATGCCCAGGGCTCGGACCAGAACCCATATCGTACGCGAGGCGTGGAGTGTGAAGACGCTATCCGCATCACCACTGACCTGTAACGTTTGTTAACACTAGTCACACTCTCTATCTTCTTTCTAAAATGGGATGTCCTATATAACATTTGCTTATTATTTGCATAGTTTACGCTCTACAAACTCTTATTTGTGTCTCGTCTTCCCTACAAATTTGCATCCAGGGAATGACATTCTACCTGGTCCTGTCACGCAGTTTTTCTGACTCTTCAGCCAGCTTGACAACACCACCTACTACCGTAGCGTTACTACTACAACATTCTATTTATACATCACACATTGTTTAGGATTGAACTGCTTAAAGTCTCTTGCTCGAAGCCCCCTTGTTGGCTACCCTTTTGTGCTTATCAACCAGCATTGTGCCTCTTAACGTATCCAACCAATTGGACTTTTCGGAACAGCGACGGCCTCGCTTCTTACATGTCGGTGTTCAATCCCAGATGGCTCAAGTAGCTGGGCATCGTTCCCTCCCTCCGTACTTATATTCCAGTACCTTGTTTTCCTATCTCTTCCAAGTGATATATAGTCACACTGGCTCAGCAATTCCTCCTCACAATTAACTTACTTTTGCCTCTAAACACCTCAATATAAATTTGTTCAGCGTTTACATCTCTGTCGGGCAGCATCCGGGGTTCATAATTCATCCTAGTATTGAATAATATCCCGTGATCGTATAAAGCTCAAGGTGCACTTCTTAGTCTTTATACAGCAAATATAACTTAAGTTATATACTTATGGAAGCATGTAATTAAAATCTTTTGTACAGTTTCTTCACTTGTATGTACAGTATCTACTTGTATACAAACTTAAACTTAACACGTGTATTTGTAATATAGAATTGTTTTAACTGCACGTATCTTTCAACTTAAAGCATTACATATTTACACCTGACATACCAGCATACACCAATCACGTCAGTCTTAGGGACCATTCTCACTTTATCACTCAATTCCCCCACAACAATGAATCTGCAGCTTCAAGACATCATATCAAAAATCATTCTCTAAACAATGTGTACATACAATTACCACATCATGTTTAACCTAATCACGCATGATATTAGCCAGCTGCCCCACAAGATAAGTCATTCAGTGTTACACATCAGTATTCATTCAAAATAATGTCTACCCCCCCTCAGTCCCTACTCCAGTCGCTCTCTATTACTTCGGTTCTTATGATTCCTAACTGAGCTCCACTCTCATTGTCTCCTAAGCTTAGTTTCACCGAAACTTTGCACGTCGGTCTGACCCTCCTTAAAACCTTTCATCTCATCAAGTTTCTATTTTTCTTCATTTACTCCTTTACTATACCACGCTACTGTGCTACTAATTCTGTTACTACTACCATCATTAATGATAAATACGACTAATAAAAATGATCGGAATAATAATAATAATAATAATAATAATAATAATAATAATAATAATAATAATAATAATAATAATAATAATAATAATAATTGAGAAGTTTTCAATATTCAAGACATTCACACTAATAATGGATATATACCGTAAACAAAACAAAACATTTCTTAAGTAAAATATAATTAACGTTTAAATATCTATTAAAATAAAGTATGCAAATAACACACACACTTATAAAAGATATATATATACTAAATAAGTTATCCATTAAAACACCAAAAGTATGAAAACACTGGGAATTATTCCCTGTAATATAACATATATCAGGGTTACAAAAAATAAAAAAAATAAATATTAAATGTATCAATCGCCCTTTTTTTCTTATCACTATGGAAAAGGAATGTATGGAAATATATCACTCATTCTCTCTTGTCTATACTCCCTTTTTCGCCTATCTCTCTGTTTGTCTATTCCATTCTCCCTTATTCCTCCTTCCTTCCCTCTCTTCTGCTTCACTCTTACTCCCTCAGTTTCTTTCCTACTCTCTCCTCCAACACCCTTTTCCCCTTTTTTCTCTACTTTACAACTCTCTTCCTTTCCCAATTTCTGTCTTCATTCTCTTTTTCTCTCTCTCCTTCTCTTTCCCTTCTATCCTCCACTCCCTCTCTCTCCCCCTACCTCTCTCTCTCTCTCTCTCTCTCTCTCTCTCTCTCTCTCTCTCTCTCTCTCTCTCTCTCTCTCTCTCTCTCTCTCTCTCTCTCTCTCTCTCTCTCTCTCTCTCTCTTTCTAAACAGTAAACACACAATGTTAATTTTACTATTAATATTTTGATGCAATGTTGTAACAACGTTGTGGTTATGTTGTGTGTGGAAAATGAAAAATTGGGAAACTATGTAAAACCAAATCCAAGTTTCAGACTTCATAAGATTCGCAATTGGAACCGACCTTGGAACCGTAGGGGCAATGGAGCCAACCCCGAACCGTCTTTGAGAGTCACCTACCTCCAATGTGTCATCCAGAACTACACATATACATATACGTATACACTAGGAAGACACTATACATATACATATACACTAGGAAGAGCACCCGGTGGTGCCCGGGATAATCTCTCTATCCCCACGTCCCCCTCTATCCTTCCCCTTCTCCCTTTCTCCTCAGTCTCCTTTTTCCCACCCCTCTAACTCTTCTTCCCTCCCATCTTTCCCATTTTCATCCTTTTCCGTCTCACCCCCATCTTCCAACCCTCCTTTTCCCCTCACTTAATCTCTTTCCCTCTCTCTTCCTTGTCTGGCCTCCATTCTTTCCCTTCTCTTCCTCTCTTCACCACATTTCCCACTACCCACCTAGTACTCACCTAGTTGTGCTTGCGAGGGTTGAGCTTTGGCTCTTTGGTCTCGCCTCTCAACTATAGACCCCCCCTAGTCCTCTTCCCTCGGAATACCATTGTCCCTCCCCTTATCTTCGTTCCTCTCATCCTCATTTTCTTTTCCTGTTCATCCCTCTCTCTCTCACCCCCACCCCCGTTCTCTTTAAAAATGTATTAAATTGATTATAGATACAGTAGTTTAGAAGCATTAAAACAACTGTATGGGTCTCTTGAAATTTATTATTATGAAAAACTCTACGGGAAACCAAATATTTCATAATTGACTCGATAAAAATTGCATTGGGGGGGGGGGGGGGCTCTATATTAAATTCTAATATTTCTTAAGATATTTAACTTAAGCCGACCCGACAAGCCTATGTAGGTCCAGTACCGCTGACTATTTACCCTGCAAAATTGGGTTCGCTCGCCTCACCCAGTATATATATATATATATAGACGCTGAACAAACACAAAGAAATACATAAATGCTCTTAAATACTCACCGAAACGGTATAAAAAAAAAACATCAGCGAAACAATAAAATAAATTCAGAAAAAATAAAAAAAACGAATGGTGAAACAAGTAAAAAATAAAAATAAAAAAATCAAAAGGGGGGAAAAATAAAACAGTGAAATGAAGGAAGAAACAAGTCGATGATGGCATATCTGGCCAACAATATAATCGACAGTAAACAGAAACCATCAAAACATTCTATTTCAAGAATCCGCCATTAGAGAGGAGTGAAGAGCCCACTGAAGTGTACCAGAGCTCTGAAGCTCTCCTTCTCCTCCCATCCCAACCTCTGTGAGCGACCCCACACTCACTCTGTGTGTGTGTGTGTGTATGTGTGTGTGTGTGTGTGTGTGTGTGTGTGTGTGTGTGTGTGTGTGTGTGTGTGTGCGTGTGTGTGTGTGTGTGTGTGTGTGTGTGTGTGTGTGTGTGTGTGTGTGTGTGTGTGTGTTTTGAGCATGTGTGTACTCGTGTATTTGTGCCATAATGACCCAACACCACAGTCAATATCCAAATTCAATACCCTTTGGGATATTACTTTCTCTAGAATGCACAAGACTCTGTGTACGCCTTCTCGTTGATGCTGTTTGGGAGAGAGAGAGAGAGAGAGAGAGAGAGAGAGAGAGAGAGAGAGAGAGAGAGAGAGAGAATATGATGTCAATGATAACAACATCAGAAATAATGTCAGTTACCATTATCAATAATAATAACAATAAGTAACATATCATTAACTTTCGCTGGTCGTACTTTCGCTTACGACCAGCGAAAGTACGTCGCTGTATTTTCAACCTAAAAATTCCGAAAAAATATATTTTCCGAAGGTGCTGTTATCTTATTTGACTAAACCTCTTATATTGGCTCTGTCTCACTCATTCTCAGTTTCTGTCTCACTTACTCAGTCTCTCTAACACTGCCTTACTCACCCAGTCTCTCTAACACTGCCTTACTCACCCAGTCTCTCTAACACTGCCTTACTCACCCAATCTCTCTAACACTACCTCACTCACTCAGTGCCTCCGCCTCACTCTCTCCTCTTCCCCACAGGTGTCGTGGATTCGTAACCGGGATTTACACGTGCTAACGGTGGGTTCATTTACCTTCACGAACGACGAGCGGTTCTCTGCCCACCGCGACCCGAGCTCCGGGGACTGGATCCTGGTTCTCAGGCGACCCCAGCCCTCAGACTCCGGCTTCTATCAGTGCTCCATCTCCACCAAGCCTGTCACGGCCATCGCTGTTAAACTCAATGTTGTGGGTAAGTTTTAAGAAGATAGACTGAGATGAGTGAGAAGCAAAAAGAGAGAGAGAGAGAGAGAGAGAGAGAGAGAGAGAGAGAGAGAGAGAGAGAGAGAGAGAGAGAGAGAGAGAGAGAGAGAGAGAGAGAGGAGAGAGAGAGAGAGAGAGAGAGAGAGAGAGGAGAGAGAGAGAGAGAGAGAGAGAGAGAGAGAGTGCAGAAACAAATGTGCGCTTTCTTCCCCCCCTAATACAACAGTTCACCTAGCAGTAAATAGGTACCTGGGAGTTAGACAGCTGCTACGGACAGCATCCTGGGGATGTGTGTATATGAGAGAACAATATATGATAGACAAAATTAGGTTGAGAGTCAGTTTTTAGGCAACTGACGGTTAGAAAGGCGGGGTCCAAGAGCTAACAACTCAATACACACACACACACACACACACACACACACGCACGACAGAGGCAGTCATACAGTAATATTCGGAGCTTTCCAGTGATCGGCAACAGAATATATATTGATTATACTTAGAAAATTTTGAATACATATGAGACTTTCCAGAACTGTAGAGAACCTGCGTGTGGTCGAGGTACCTCACAGTAGTTCAGATATCTCACAGTAGTTCAGATATCTCACAATAGTTCAGATACTTCATAGTAGTTCAGATACATCACAGTAGTTCAGATACCTCACAGTAGTTCAGATACCTCACAGTAGTTCAGATATCTCACAATAGTTCAGATACTTCATAGTAGTTCAGATACATCACAGTAGTTCAGATACATCACAGTAGTTCAGATACATCACAGTATTTCTGATACCTCACAGTAGTTCAGATACCTCACAGTAGTTCAGATATCTCACAATAGTTCAGATACTTCACAGTAGTTCAGATACTTCACAGTAGTTCAGATACCTCACAGTAGTTCAGATACTTCACAGTAGTTCAGATACTTCACAGTAGTTCAGATACTTCACAGTAGTTCAGATACTTCACAGTAGTTCAGATACCTCACAGTAGTTCAGATACATCACAGTAGTTCAGATACTTCACAGTAGTTCAGATACCTCACAGTAGTTCAGATTCATCACAGTAGTTCAGATACCTCACAGTAGTTCAGATACCTCACAGTAGTTCAGATACTTCACAGTAGTTCAGATACTTCACAGTAGTTCAGATACATCACAGTAGTTCAGATACCTCACAGTAGTTCAGATACATCACAGTAGTTCAGATACCTCACAGTAGTTCAGATACATCACAGTAGTTCAGATACATCACAGTAGTTCAGATACCTCACAGTAGTTCAGATGCATCACAGTAGTTCAGATACATCACAGTAGTTCAGATACATCACAGTAGTTCAGATACATCACAGTAGTTCAGATACATCACAGTATTTCTGATACCTCACAGTAGTTCAGATACACTCACAGTAGTTCAGATACCTCACAGTAGTTAAGATACATCACAGTAGTTCAGATACCTCACAGTAGTTAAGATACATCACAGTAGTTCAGATACACTCACAGTAGTTCAGATAACTCACAGTAGTTCAGATACCTCACAGTAGTTAAGATACATCACAGTAGTTCAGATACACTCACAGTAGTTCAGATACCTCACAGTAGTTCAGATACCTCACAGTAGTTAAGATACATCACAGTAGTTCAGATACGCTCACAGTAGTTCAGATACCTCACAGTAGTTCAGATACCTCACAGTAGTTCAGATACCTCACAGTAGTTCAGATACCTCACAGTAGTTCAGATACCTCACAGTAGTTCAGATACCTCACAGTAGTTCAGATACCTCACAGTTGTTCAGATACCTCACAGTAGTTAAGATACATCACAGTAGTTCAGATACACTCACAGTAGTTCAGATAACTCACAGTAGTTCAGATACCTCACAGTAGTTCAGATACCTCACAGTAGTCCAGATACACTCCCAGGGTGTCCCGGTACACCTTGGTGTCTGAGCTAAGATCACGTACAAGAACCAAATGTCTTCTCCCAAATGACCACCAGAGAACTTCCAGCTAGTTAATAACTTACCAATATCTCTCTTACAATTACGTGGGTCTGTAACTGCAGACTCTGCCGGCTGGCTGCTCAACATAAAAAAAATATTTGGTAGCAATAATTTGGATATTGTCGCTTGAACACCGGAGAACATTGAACATACAACTGAAATTAATGTTGCATTTATGTGATACGTGTAGTGGGGAGGAGATAGTTCATAGTATCCCAGTGCCTATGGACTCATTAAGACAGTTTAGGTTGCTCTAAGCAAGTTTATGCTTATTACTTATCTTGTGACGAATAATTTATAATGTTTTGTAATAAACAAAAATACGACCACAAACATGGTCCAAGGAATATCCCCCCAACGTGAGCATACAATGACAATGTTATCAAAGAAGAATCATATTCGCCATAAAGAAACCTAAATATTATTTATCATGTTATTTAAAAATAAAGTTATCACAAAACGTTCCTGTTTAGTCCGGATTAGATGACAGGAAGGGACAATTATACTGCAAATTATATAAAATATTTTACTAGCTGCATGCCTACAAAAATGGTAAAATAATGAATTATAATGATTCCAATAATTATTAAATACATACAGCAAGATGAGATGGTAATATTCATGTATGTTAAATACTAAGTTTGACCTTTAGTTTAAAAAGTTAACCTGGTATTGGAGCATTACATTAAATTATATGTACACCACTCTAAGTGATTGAGAGTAATATTAACATTTATGTAGTTTTTCAATAAGTTATTGTCACTCAGATAATGTCAAATATCTGAATACTTGAACATAAAATAAGCATTGATATAATAAATTCTTCTCTCTCTTGAATATTCATAAAACATGCTAATTTCTTCTCCAGTCTAGCTATAAACATTACGGGTTATTTAACAACGTATAATTGACAAATAAATAATACAAAGGCACTGTTCCAAGACTACAGTATATTATTTAATATTACAGTTCAAACGTGAATAGCTTAACCTCGCCCAAAAACTCCAACATAGCGAATACCAAAGTAACCTTACAAATATTGTAGAGGAGAAATAAATACTCCACGAGACACTATGACTAGTTTAAATACGGGTCACAAATAACAACTTATATAACTACATATTCTATGTTAATTATAAAAAAAATTCATCCTAGCTCCTGGCTGTTGATTTGTTATGTCGAGAGCATTTCTCCACTGTGAGTAGTGGACGTCTGTTTCCAGCAGTGCGTCATCTCTTGTCACAAAACGATCGCTGCAATGTTGCAGTGCCACACTACAGGTTATTGACACAAGCGGTGTGTCGTGACAGAGTCAATGTCAATGTAATATCAGGGGGCTGGTTGTCCGGCACATTGAACAGCAGTAACGCAAGAGAAATATCTTACGAAATATGTTGCTGAAATATAAGCATTACCAAACCTTTGTAGAACCCACCTTTCAAGACTCTTTATCTGCCATAGACCCACCTTGCAAGACTCTCTACCTACCATGGACCCACCTTCTAAGACTCCTTACCTACCAAGACCTACATCCAAGACACTCTACCTACCAACGACCTCACAGAACATCCATCTTAAATTAAACTTTCCCACAATGTCTTCAGAGGTGATAAATCAGAATTAGCGTGTGTACCATAGACGAGAGCAGCGAGGTGAAGTACTTAGTCAAGCCGAACGTAGGGATGTAGGGTGGATGAATGACGAGAAGTCATTATTTAATTTTTGTCTGGAGTTAATCACAGTGTTGGTAGCAATTCCAGCACTCCCTGGGGGTAATTTGCTGATGAATTCGTGGCTGGCAGCTTGTCGAGTGGGAGCGCTGGCCTCTGGGAACAGGTTCTGAGCCGATGTATCTGAGTATGTGGTATACATATATATATATAACATAAAATATATGTTATACATATAACACAAATAGACATTCATGCACACATTCATGCACACATTCATGAACACAATACACGCATGCAGACTTACACATAAATAGACACACATAGCACGTACGTACACAGGCATATACATAGGCAAACAGACTACACATATTGAAAGACAGAAGTAAACAAATATACAGACAGATACACATGATGCACTCATAGATACAGACTGACACACACACACACACACACACACACACACACACACACACACACACACACACACACACACACACACACACACACACACCCACCCACACACACACACAGGGGCCTCGTAGGGGGGCCTCGTAGGGGGCCTCGTAGCCTGGTGGATAGCGCGCAGGATTCGTAATTCTGTGGCGCGGGTTCGATTCCCGCACGAGGCAGAAACAAATGGGCAAAGTTTCTTTCACCCTAAATGCCCCTGTTACCTAGCAGTAAATAGGTACCTGGGAGTTAGTCAGCTGTCACGGGCTGCTTCCTGGGGTGTGTGTGTGTGGTGTGGGGGAAAAAAAAAGTAGTTAGTAAACAGTTGATTGACAGTTGAGAGGCGGGCCGAAAGAGCAAAGCTCAACCCCCGCAAAAACACAACTAGTAAACACACACACACACACACACACACACACACACACACACACACACACACACACACACACACACACACACACACACACAGAAACATAAGCAGACAACCAAAACATATACACACACAGACACAGCATACACCGTCACTCGCAGACAGACACACAGCATACACCTACAGTCACTAGCACATAACATACACCAGCACTCACACACGCACACAAATTGACACAATACACACACACACACAAGAGCTAACAGCTCGATTCTTCAGGCTTAAATAAGTGAATATAGGCAGACACATGACACTCGCCCACAAACACAACACAACACAGTCACACAGAACACAACAAGAAGCAAACAAGCAAGTGCTCCCAAGCGTTACCTGCATGTGTACTTGTTTGTAAGTGACAGGTCATTGATTTTGGCGCTTGGCGTATTGACAAAAAAAAAACACAACCAAATCCAACAAACACAAACTCGTGTTCAATAGAAGGATATATGTCTAAAAAAAATATTCTCAAGGCTCTACTCAATTTTTACAACCGTGTTCCCTAAAAAAAAAGATTGCAGGGTGCTTCGACAAATGTGCAATATAGCGACAGAAATTACGAAGAATATAATCCACAATATCGTGGCTGGAACAAATTAAATCTCACATTTGGGTCAGATAATTCATTTATGTCAAATAATCAGACATAATGACGCCATAACGTCAGAAGTACAAATGTCGGCGTATAACGCAATCGTAGAGTGAACGTTCGAGACCACACCTCGGTCTCCAGCGCCCCAACTGTGTCGACAGGTCTGGTGACTTAGTATTTAATAAACATTTATCCGTTAGGTTCAGGGTTCGACCCCCCTCAACACGCCATGTGTACACATACACACACACTTCTCTTTCACTCTCTCTCAAAACAATTTACATTGCATGGCCCTTGATCTTACTGACTCATAAGTTACTGCAATAGTCTGCTCTCTGAGCTTGTTCTCTGGTGCTGGCGATGTATTCCGACCAAAGTCTTGCGCCCGACTGGGAAACCTGTGTAGTTCTCAGTTAAAATGTCTTCTAACGAATATAAAACTGCGGAAGAGAATGAGTGGGTGGGACCTGGTGTTCCCTTAGTTTATGTTCGGTCAGATCTTGTTACTTTAAGTTACGTTAGTTTATAATAGATTAGGCCATATTAGGTTAGGTTTGATTATTTTATGTTAGGTAAAGTCATATTAGTTTAAGCTAAGCTAGGCTAATTTAGATTAGGTTACGTTAGTTCAGGCAAGATTCATATATCACAATATTAATTTTGTATTGAGTGTTATGTGTGCTACATATCCATGTAGCACACATAATACTCACCAGACTACATGAAAACCTGAACTTCTTAGTATACTCAGCAGACACAACGTGTACCCTGGTGTTCTCAGCGGCGTATTATGTGTAGCGAATATTCTCCTAAAATATAACTCTATGAGAAGCACACACGTGCTGACCTGTTTGTGTTTGTGTACCGTAGTACCGTCGGTGGAGCTGGTAGGGGGAGGAGACGTGTACCTGGACCGAGGGAGCACCTTGAACCTCACCTGCATGGTACACTTCAGTCCCACGCCTCCCGAGTTCATCCTGTGGTACCACAGAGATAAGGTGAGTACCTTACCCTGGCTAGGTGCCTAATTTGTCTAGGTGAACTTTGTAACTTCCTGATATTTTGAAAATATATATAAAGAATACAGACAGGCAATTATATATATGTTTATATATATATATATATATATATATATATATATATATATATATATATATATAAACAAACAGGATAACATATACTGTGAGAAAACAGGCCAGCACATTTAAATAATATAACATGATATCATATAAAAGCGAGTAGATATATATCACATAAGAAGAGTAGGTACGATATCATATACAGACAGCCTAACTTGATATCGTTTGCAGAGTAGAGACAGGCTATCATGCAAAGGTGAACTTATCTTCTCATCCAACTAGCTTGTTTCCGTCTCCTTATCCTTTTCTACTTCTGTTCCTTTCTCTTCTTCTGCTTCCGTCCCATTCTCCTCTTTCTTTTTGCTTACTTCCCCTTCTCTTCTTTCTTCTGCTACCGTCCTCTTTTATTTCTTCCCTTTCCGCACCTCTTCTCTCTACCCATTATTCTTTAGCTCCCTTCTCCCTATGTGAACATCTCCTTTCATTTAACATTTTCCCCCCTACGTTTGCCATAAGTTACAAATATATCCTCATCATCCAACTCTTCCCTTCAAAATACCTTTCTTCTTGTCATCATTCATCCCTTCTCCTCGCTGTCCTTGTCTTCTTCCTCATCATTCCTCTCGCTTCCCTCTTCATTCTTCTCTTCAGATCCATCATTTCTCTATTCCTCTCTTCCTCTTATCATCCTTCTCTTCCGCCTGTTATGCCATTCTTCCTTCTCATTAATTCCCCATATTTTCCCCTTACCTTTTCTTTTCCACCCCCATTTGACCCATTTTTTGCCTATCCTGTAATTGAGAAGTACAGCAGCATATGGAGTTATATAATTCACAATTTGTTACCCAGTGCAATTGTCTATGCATTTAAATAGAACGGTGTTTGAGGTAGCCAAAATGCTTACAAAGGTAGGGGGAATTGGGGTGCATCTTTCACTGATTACAGCTGGTGAACTACGGTCAGCCTGGCCGAGCGATTACGGTGGAGACGGAGCACAGGGGAGACACCACCAGGTCCTCACTACTCGTCCTCAACGCCTCCAGCTGGGACTCCGGCCAGTACGCCTGCAAGCCCTCCAACGCTGACAGGGTCTCCATCAAGGTCCATGTCCTTAGGAGTAAGTAGATTGGGGGGTGACAGAGACAGACAAAAAGGCAGACAGATAAACAGAGAGAATGAGGAGTAATATGTATACAAAGGTAGGGGGAAAAGGAAGAGGGAAATAGACAATGTTAGGAGAGAGTGAGAGTGGGAGAGAGCGTAAGAATAGAAGGGATGGAATAAGGGAAGGAGCTGTTCCTAGTAAGTACCCACTGAGGGGGAGAGCCATTAGGAAACATTCTAAAGAAAGGTCTTAAGAGGGAGGGAGGGAAGGAGGGTTTTAGAGAGGGAGGGAGGGATGGAGGGAGAGTGGGAGGAAGGAGGGAGGGTAGGGGGAGAGAGAGAGAGAGAGAGAGAGGAGAGAGGGGAGGGAGAGAGAGAGAGAGAGAGAGAGAGAGAGAGAGAGAGAGAGAGAGAGAGAGAGAGAGAGAGAGAGAGAGAGAGAGAGAGAGAGAGAGAGAGAGAGAGAGAGAGAGAGAGAGAGAGAGAGAGTTGAGAACGGAAAGACAGAGAGAGAGGCTGTGAAGGTTGGAAGGGAAAGAGGCGGGTTAAGGGAGTGAGGAAAGGAGACGAGGACAACAAGAATCGCTGATATGCCCATTAGAAACAAGTGTAGGGAGAATGAGAAAGGGAGAAGATAACTGAAGAAAATAGTGAAGAGAATTAAGCTCGGTCTAACCCAGGAGTTTCCATTTTTTCACTCATTTACTGCTTCTATCTCTATCATCTTCTACTTTACCATCCTCTCATCCTCTTCTTCCCCTTTTCTCATCTTCTTCCTCTTGGATTTTTAATTTCTATTCTTTATTATCCTCACACCGCCTATTCCCCCTTTCAGTTTGTACTTATACTCCTAAGCACACCCATCCACACACCACCTTCCACATGTGCACCACTTACCCACATCAACCATCCACCCCATGTTACCTATCTATGCACAATTCAACCCCCCTTCCATGAACACCTCCATCCACCATACTATCCCCCTTCCTACCCTACCAAAACATATAACGTATCAAAATCATCCACCCCCATTAAAATCAACCACGCACCTAAACCATCCACCCACACAGTATAAACAATGCATGCAGCTTATTCTTTCACCCCCTCACACCCACCCAAGCCTCCCCCACACAGTATTCACTCATGCATTCAGCGCACCTTTCCCATTCACTCTGTTCTAACTCATGCTTGACTAACCTGGAGTTAATTATACGGTAAAAAAATGTATAACAAGCCCCAAGAAAACACATGAGTGCCATGAGCACTTAGTGTGCACTGTTATCATCAGAGGTCCACGACTCACCATGTATAGTGTCTTCTGTGACTTGGTACTCATGTAATTGGAGTTTCCTCATTGTGAGGCATTCTACCAGCAAGTGCTTCACACTCATTGGGATTGTATAATTTCACGGGACATGGGTAGCCTGTTGCTATTCATTACTTGTGCGTGGCTTATGTACAAATGAATGAGTATTGTCTTCCACCAATGTGGCTTACTGGGATATAACCAGCAACGAACCGGCTTTATGTTCACCATGGGTTTGTTAGGGGTCAGTGGAGGCATCAGAACAACGCGACCAAGATCTGAAGGCAGGGAACCTAATCCCCCAGATGGAAGTCATCAGATGGGTGTTACTGCAACGAGGAGACCAAGTTGGCTGAGCAAGTCTTGGAGTATGTTGGGCCGTTGTCAGACGTCTAACTGCTGCACCAATCTAACCACGCTGAAACTTGTAGTCGCTCTAAAATCTTTGGCACTTAAGAAATTCCTTGGTACGTTCCTTGCACTCTATATTGTCCTCTAATTATTCCTTCTTGTGCCCCTCCTTCGCCTTCTTCCTCCCTACTGTCTTTCCTTCATCTTTTACTCTTCCTTTATCACCCTTTCCTCCCCCTCCCTTCAGGTCATTACCACTATGCTTCACACCGTCCACTTTCCACTTACGTCGCCTTAGTGTTGTTGCTTCATTCTTCTTAGACAAGATTCTCTCTCTCTCTTTCTCTCTCTCTCTCTCTCTCTCTCTCTCTCTCTCTCTCTCTCTCTCTCTCTCTCTCTCTGCACTGAGCCCCAAATTATACCTGACATTTAGGTAAACGTTTCAGGCGCCGAGAGAGAGGTGCGCTTATACCGACATCAAAGCCAGACGCTGCATGCAATTGCTCAGGCGTGGGTTAACCTCCTCGCGAGAGCTTCTTGGCTATGACACCTCTATTCGGGAGCTCAGCTGCCTTGTTTGATTAATTAATAAAGGAAGCCATTTTTTAAAAGGCTGCTGTAAGTTCTGGAGAAGAGCGGAGAGTTTCCAGGAGGAATTCTTGGCAGTGGTATGATGTGGTGTTGATTAATGCATATTTGGGCATCCGGACTTAGAAAACAGAGCTGTGTTGATAAAGAAAATGGGAGGTTAGTTCTCCCAATTCTCTCTCTAATCATTCTGCCGTCAGCAATATATATGTCCACCCACCCTCCTCCCTTCCTTACTTCTCTCCCCTTTCATTGATGACAACAAAGTAAATATCTGAGAGGATCCATCTTCCGCCATGTCTTCATCACAGCGGACTTGACCAACGATGGGTTAAATTATCTTCCATGATGAAATATTGACAGTTCAACCAGTAGAATTAAATTTAAAGAGGAACCCCACTTTCATCTGGAGCTGTTCTCATACGTGTCTCAGGATGTCTGTGTCAACGATAATTGGATTGATTGGATTGTGAACGATTGTGACTTTTAAATGGTAGTATGCTTAATGTCTGTGTTGCAGTTACTGATAAACATTGACGTTTCTCTCTGGCTGTTTTGTGTGTGTGTGTGTGTGTGTGTGTGTGTGTGTGTTTGTGTGAGTGCGTGAATGTGTGTAAATGTATGGGCTTGTCTTCCTCCCTCGTTATTGTGACTCAGCTGGTAGTATTTTGCGTGCTATCCTCGGAGTGGCCATAAGTAACGACCTCAAGTCTATAAAGCAAGGTCTAACATCAACTAGCATAGCTAACAAAATACTAGCCTTCACTAGCAACGCAACTAGCAGATTGCACTGTCATACACAATACTAACCACAAAGCACTACTCAGACCCCGCACACCTTGGGGTATACTGCACAGTTATGCTTTCCAAATTACGTGAAGGAGAAACAGGGACGGGAGAGCGCGCTGTAGGCCGACTAAACTCAGACAATCATTAGGAAATAAACCAAACGAAGAGAGGTTTGTAGAACTAAATGTTCTCTAAAGTAGCGCATGCTTCTTGAGCTTCAAAACTCTGTATAGTGATTCAAGGGTTCACTTTTTAATGCAACTTGCCGCTAACAAAAAAAGGTGATTTAAAAACTTATTTTGTCTTATCATACTGTAGAATAATATCTAGTTATCTTCAACTGTATAGACCCATAATTAAGAAATCAATTCGTCATTTTTTTCGAATATTCCATGTTTTCTTAAGTACAGAAAACAACACTAAATATTTATTGAATGTCAAATATATTTTTTGAGGGGATATTTTTTTGACAGAGTTGATGCTAGTGAGTTCACCTGGTGACATGCCATCACCTATCAGTATGAGGATTCTCAAATTATTTTTCATATCTAACATGTCAGGGCTCAGAAAATAATGCAGGAAAAAAAGTACATCCAATTAGTTGTTGGGGAATAGGTACTTTTGGTGTTTGGTTTGGTGAATGTTGGGTTTACTGCCTATCATCCTCTGGAGGGTTGTTAAGGCCAATACTATAGCTTACTGACCAACCAGCAAGTGTACTCCAGTCCTGACCTCTTACTGTATATATATATACACTAAGTGTATATATATATTTGCACTTTCCGTTCTGGTGGCTGTTACCGGAAATAATAGTTGAATTGATTGTTCAAATTCTTTGTAAAACAATGCCATTCGCCTAATTCTATTACATTTGTATATATGTTCTTTCACTAGGGCTTAGATGTTACTTCATTCTATACTCCCGGCGGCTGTGCAGGTGTGGAGAGATGTGAGAGAGCCTTGTGCTTTTCTATTCATACTAAAATGAGTAGAGTTTATAGTGTCCTCAACAGATAACATTTTAGTTGTCTGAGTGGTCCTTAATTTCTCCACTCCCTCCCCTTATGCACTCTCCAACCTGCTTTCTCATTCACTTTCATTGGAAACAAAATTCAATATGAATCTTACGGCGTCATTAATTAGTCGTGTTTGTGTCGCCCCTCAGGTGAGACGCCGGCCGCCATGCAGACGACGACAAGCGGCGCTCCAAGAGGCTTCAAAACCCACCTTTTAATATTTTGTTTATTATTCCCTCTCCTTGCCTCTCTCTCCTCTTCCTCTTTCCGCTCTCACAGATAAGGCCGTAACACCGGGGGCTAGAGAGAGAGAGAGAGAGAGAGAGAGAGAGAGAGAGAGAGAGAGGGAGAGGGAGAGAGAGAGAGAGAGAGAGAGAGAGAGAGAGAGAGAGAGAGGGAGAGGGAGAGCGAAAGCTTTTGTTTTGGGGATATCGAGGATCCCCCATTCGATCCCTCTAGGGAAAAGTAACCAAAAATATATTGGATGGGCTTACTCCCGTTTTCTGTGGCAGTGCTACGAGCCAGCCTCTCCTTCCTCCCTGTTGCTGGGGTGGAGCAGCGCTCCTCCTGACTACGTTACTGAAATAATATACCACACCGACGGCAGGTTATCCCACGTAAGCCTAATTGGGCTCAGCGAAACGCAAACCCGTGAGAACAACGATGTTGCTGTGTTTTGCTCTACGGATGTAATAATGCTGCTTGAAGCATTACCTTGACACGCTGCTACATGTGGCTGTATATCTGCCACAATGAACGACGGCTTCCGATATGCAACTAAACAAAACGTTGAACAAATCCACAAGGGCCGTGACGAGGATTCGAACCTGCGTCCGGGAACATCCCAGACACTGTCTTAATCGACTGAGCTACGACAGGGGTAAAAAGAGTTGAAACCGAAGTTCTACTGAACTTACTGGATCCTGCAGCCTCTCCGAGGCACAAACCAGGGTTTTACACAACTCCCCCCTGCACTCGAGCTATGTCAATAGGCCGTTCTCCCTCTTCGCCCTTACATCATTACACACAGAAATCACGCTCACGGGAGTGTGATTTCTGTGTGTGAAACAAAACGTTATTTTTGTTTACGTTTTAATAACGTAACGTTGTTATAATGTTGTGGTTAGGTTGTGTTTGCTGGTGAAGCATATACATCGAGGGAAGCCATCTATGTATGACATTATATTACTGCAGTAACATAGCCAATGTGAGCAAATTGTAGAAAAATGATATTATGCTTTGACTTGGGTGTTGTATGGCTATTAAAATGCCAAAAAAACAAAAAAACAAAAAGAAAACTGCGTGTACCATAAGTTTTGTACAGGTAGTAGCTATTGTATATTGCATTTATTATATTGATGTGTTGTTGTTGATGCTGTTGGAAATTATTTACATAGAGTAGGCAACACTATATTATTTTAGGTTTAATAGTGTGGGGAAGGAGAAACTGGTAGGTTTATGATACAGCAGACTGACTTTCTGATTGGCTATATTATTGTCCCGTGAGTCATATTAATTCCTGTTTCATATCGATGCGAATGTGACATAATATGACTCTTTGTATCCACGCTAAAATATAGCCCACTGGAAGTATGTGAAGCACCTTGTCTTCATATCCTGGGCATAATAAACTTGGCTATATTGCAATAATATAATCCAAGTATATGTAATGTTCAACAATTTAACTAAAGATTGTTTTGTGTGTCAGTAAAATATGACGGGTCTCATCTGTATATTTTGAACTTAAACGAGTGTTTATAACGAGCAGTATATTGACATTTTCAATCTCTCACTTATATAGCTGTGATATTTTGCCCTCTTTTCCCATCCCTCCTTTCCCACCTCTTTCTTCTTCCCTATCACTAATTTTGTATAAAATATTATATATATATATATATATATATATATATATATATATATATATATATATATATATATATATATATAAAGACATTTATTATGACGATACTGAGCGAGGAAATGAAATGAAATTGGAAGCAGACCAAATTGAAGACACAAACAATACTTTGTAAATTAATGTGCTCAGAATATTGGGGACATACACGTGCTCATTTATTTAGAAAGAAAAAATGCAAGAAATAACTAAATAAAAACTTGTAAACATTTATGTGTTCAAACAACACAAATTTTAATTACATTTAACTTAACAAAACAATTTATCCAACAAGACAGATGTTTTCATCCAGCAGCCTCGAGGCAGGTGTTTTAATTCAGGAGTTTCGAGGTAGATGATTGATATGAAATTACATGTAAATATCAGAACACAAGACATATTAATAAATCCCAGGACAATCAGTCAATAAATTACATAAATAATAACAATATATAAAGATCAGCAAGATCATCATTACAAACCCCCAAAACAAACTTAATGCAAAAGTTAATTTAGGGAAAAATAATGTTATCCTTATCGAAAAATCCAAAAAATAAGAACTTTATGATAAATCTGAACAAATGGACAGGGCCACCTTAAGATATAATATCCAAACCATTCATCAGAAAATGAAAAAAACGACGACGTATCGGTCCGTCGTGGAGCAGTGTCCAGTCGTCCCCTCATTGTTCAATGTGTGGTGTGTTCATCATATCTTCAGCCACGTTATTGTGACTCATCGTTGAAAGACCACCTTAATATATATATATATATATATATATATATATATATATATATATATATATATATATATATATATATATATATATATATATATATATAGTCAAAATTAGAACACCAGAAGTTATTTACAAAAATGGACACCAGTTTCAGTAATATTATGAGTGAGGTGTTCCCAAATGTCTTCCGATGCGGGTCAGCCTGTACTGTGCACACACACATTATAATATATATATATATATATATATATATATATATATATATATATATATATATATATATATATATATATATAAATTCTCAAATAAATATTTAAGCATCTTTCAATTTTATTTTTTTCCTTTTTAACTTCAAAACATCTAATTAGCAAATTAAAACAATGAAAATCTCTTAATGAACCATGACTACTTGACGGGGCAAATGTGAATGTGTGATAAGCAATATAACTATGAGCTTTGAGATGTTTCATATATGATACCTGTCATTTAGACTACTGACTGGAGGTCTGAGGCTTAAAAATCCAAATCAGGTGCAACGTATCACAAAACATGCTCACTGGGGGACTTATTTGCTTCTAGTGTTTGGGATATGTGGTCGAGCAACATCACAGACAAGCAGATCCTTCCTGACAATCAAGCAGGTTCCTCTAAGGCTAGTAGTATGTTCCCCATCTCTTTTTTACTCATTTCCAGCTGGAAGCAGCTTCTTGAGGAGCTCAGTAAAGCGGGACAACATATACGCTAATAAGCTAATAAAGAAGATTTGATAACAACGGATACACTAATGGATATGTGAAAGAGGTTATGTGAAAGACATGGCCGAAGACATAAAAAGCTAAAGCTACAGCTACAACTGTAGCTACAATTGCTACAATCATACAACTACAACCCGCAATTTACTACAATAGTGTGAAGACTGCAAAACTTCCATTTCTATTAAGAGTATCAGTCATTTCATTTATTTTACAGTAGTTATTCATAATTTGTTTTATTTTATATTTTTTTACAAAGGTGGTTACAGGACTAGATGGCTTCTGACCTGTTATCAGTTATTAACCACTTCCCCGCTGGAACTCGGATGGTAATCTTGGGCATAGCGTTTTATCAAATCACCTCATTCTTTGGGGCACACGTGAGGAACACAAATGCGAACAAGCCTGTCCTGGGGACCATTCAGGCTTGTTCGCATTTGTGTTCCTCACGTGTGCCCCAAAGAATGAGGTGATGTGATAAAATGCTATGCCCAAGATTACCATCAGAACTAGGGAACTATCGGGGGAAAGCGCCAAGCCTTTACGACTATATAGCACTGGGAAGGGGTCAGGATAAGGATTTGGGATGGGACGGGGGGAAGGAATGGTATCCAACCACTTAGACGGTCGGGGATTGAACACCGATCTGCATATATATATATATATATATATATATATATATATATATATATATATATATATATATATATATATATATATATATATATATATATATATATATGTGTGTGTGTGTATATCACGAAAATAAACACGTGATTAAGAATGTGACAATGTCAGACCACGGAGGAAAATGAAACAGGAATTTCCTTAAGTACTTTCGTATATTAAATACATCTTCAGAAGGTCCTTCTGAAGATGTATTTAATATACGAAAGTACTTAAGGAAATTCCTGTTTCATTTTCCTCCGTGGTCTATATATATATATATATATATATATATATATATATATATATATATATATATATATATATATATATATATATATATATATATATCTTGATGTTATACTAATTTATATAGTAAGACAAAAATTGTCAGTTTTATTAAACTTATTTAATAATAATTAGTATTATTAATATTAATACTAATCAATAATAATTTAATAATACTCATTAGGTATAATAACTATTGAAATCATGAGAGTATTAATTATTTTAAAGTAATAAGAGTCGTAAGAATAATAACTCTTCACTTAAGGTAATTAATTTGTATATTTTTTGAGGGGCAGAAACATTCCAAAAAAAGAAATAATTAGTGACTATAAAATGTAATTAATTTTGAAGCCGACATGAAAAGCTTTGGATCAATTAATTACTTCATGCAATGGCTAAACATGTGTGTAATGCTTTTTGTTGTTGACGAAGAAACCTGGGTTAATTAGTATAATGGACTTGTCAGTGGTCTTATTTATATATATATATATATATATATATATATATTATATATATATATATATATATATATATATATATATATATATATATATATATATACATATGGGAAGCAGAAATTATTAATTGTATTCTAGTGTTAGTCGTCTCACAATTTCTAATGTTTTTTTAAAATGGATGGAAGATGAAAATTTAACTTTAGAAAGTTACTAACCTAAACATTATTGCCATAAGGCATACTGTTGAAGGACGCATTTGGCGGAACTATTTTTCAACTTCTTCGGACGCAGAAGGAAAATTGATACAAATTGACAGCGCTGACAGAATAAGTATCATGTAAGATAAAGAGAGAGGTGATTGATTACCTAGTCGAATCGATTGGGTAAAGTTGCCAAGCATTTTTATTGGTAGACTGGGAGGCAGTTGTTGAGATGTTACTCGTTAGTTCTAGTTTTTGTCTATAATCTAGTTTATTGATAGCAGAACTTACGTAAATGTAAGTTGGCTGTTGATAATTGGATGAGTGTTTGATATGTATAGTGCTTGGGTTGCGTATAATCGCTTATTGTCATTATATCTTCGATTATTTAGGAGTTTTTGATCAGGGTATCTGTGTTGAGGGTCTGGATGCATGGAGAAATTATAATCTTTGATATAATCTTACTGATTGTAATTAGTCTGGCGCCTTCGAAGAGATATCGTCATGCCTATATATTTAGAGCATTGAAGGGTTGATGTAGTCCCCCAAGTGGACATGTATAGACACAGTCTCTTGGAAAAAAAATAATTTAGTGTATGCTCGGACTTCATGCGCAGCTCAGCATACATACTCGATGAATGCCCTAAATGTATAAGCAATATATGCACTCAAAACGCAGGAGAATGTGACCAGTCGTGCCAATCTATCCTTTCCCTCTTGTCTCATTCTTCATCCTTCTTATTACTTTTATTTCCTCACTCTTCCCATCCTTTTCACCACCTACACTTTCACTCTGCCTTCACCTCCTCCCACTGGCCTCACTTCCGGTCAAATATTTTTTTGTTTGAAGTATAAAAGTTTAAGTAGTT